TCTGCCGTCGCCCCTGCTCAAGGGCGCGCCCGCGCGGGAGCGCCCTCGCGCGCGTCGCCGCGCGGCGACGCGCGCGCGCGCCGCCCGCGGCCGCGGCCGCGCGGCGTCGCCCGCCCTGGAGGCCGTGCGGGGGGAGAGGGGACCACGCGGCCGACCGCCATGTCCACCAGCGCGGTCATGCCGAACGGTCGTGCCGAGCGGTCGCGCCGACCGCTCGGCACGACCGCTCGGCACGACCGCTCGGCACGGTCGATCCATCAATTTCAGCCGTCCCGAGGCGCCATGGCCCACCCATCGCTCGAGGAGGTGCCGCGGCTGGTGGACATGGCGTGCGACGCCGCTGGGGTGCCAGAGTGGCGCCCCGAGGACTCATCCTCTCTCCTCCATCCTTCCTCGATCCATCCTTCTTGGGATCCTCGCCTTTTCCTCCTCCTCCTCCTCGAGATCCTCCTCCTCCTCCTCGAATCTCCCCCTCCTCCACCCGCCCCGTCATTCTTAAACTTGCTCCTCCTCTGAGCGCCGCTCCTGGAGATCTTCCTCCTCATCCTCCTCCTCCTGCTCCTCCGGGCCCCAGGACGTCCCGAAGCCGTGGGTCTTGTCAGATCGATTCCTCGACGGTGCCCAGGGCCACACCATCCCGAGGCGATGGTGCAGATGGGCGCGAGGCCAGTTCGTGCGACGATATCGCTCGCACATGGCGTTGGTCAAGGCCGAAGCCGAGGCCGTTTTCGCCCTCGTCCTTCTCCTTCTCCTCCGCTTCCCTCTCCACCTCGAGTCTTCGTCTCGATTTTCCATTGCCAGGCTGCAGCCGCGATGGAAAAGCTGAGGAACAAGAAGACGGCGGATATCGACCTCGCCCTCATGGCAGAGGCCACCGCATTTGTGATGGGAGCGTTCTCGATTGAAGGAGAAAGGAAAGGAGGAATAGAGGATGCAGGGGGGAGGAAAGAAGGGACAGAAGAGGAAGGAGGGGTAGAGATCGAGAGGGATGAGGGGGATCAGGAGGATCACGAGCACGTCGAGGAGCATAGAGGGGAAGACATTTCCAGGGAGAAGGGGGGCAACAGGCGGTCATGTGTATCCCCGTTAGCGGTCGTGTTGTTGTCGTCGATCGGTTGCCTCCGCCCGCCAGCGAGGCGATCGGAACCACTGTGGACGCGACCCACCCGAAGTTGCCAGGCCGTTGCCAGCCAGGAGAGAGGGGTGAAGGAGGTGGGAGAGGGAAGGGTAAGAAGGGAATCGAAGAAGGGAATGGATACGGATAAAGATTGAGGAGCAGGTGAGGGGAGGAATGAGACCGCACTCGAGGACGGGAGGTTAGGGGAGGGAGGGGAGGATAGAGGAGGGGATCCGAGGTTAGGGGAATGTGACCGCACTCGAGGACGGGAGGATAGAGGAGCATGATCATCATCACCCTCAATCTCGCTGACCTCGTCCCCGTCGCTGCGAGTAAAGCGGATCGAGGGCTTCATCATCACCCTCGCTCTCGGGGACGGGAGGTTGGGGGAGGGAGGGGGGGAGGCGTTTTCATCATCACCCTCACTCTCGCGGACCTTCTGCCTCGCCCCCATCGCTGCGAGTGAAGCTGATCGAGGGCGAGGATGAGGATGTGGATCGAGGGCGCGGGTGAGTCTGAGGGCGAGGGTGATGATGAGGCTCAGGGCCCGACCGCCCTCCGCGGCCGTAGGCTATGACGACATCCCCGACTGGTCGAGCTATCCAGCGAAGTCCTCTTCCTGTCGGCCTCAGCCAGAATCCTGGCAGGTGGGGCGGGGGGGGTCAGGATAAGGTGCGAAGACTCGAGGGTATGGAGGGAAGTGCAGGGTTAGGAAGGGGAGCGAGGGCGTGGAGGGATGCATGGAGGGGTCGAGGGACCTGCTGCTATAGCAGGGTGCAGGCCTGGAGGTGAGGTTGGACCGAGAGGGCCGAGGGTAAGGGGAGGGAGGTAAGCGGGGACAGGGAGCGACAAGATCTTGTCGCCCACTCGAGCAAAGGAAAGACGGAGAGCAGCAAGGGTACGGGTAAGGAAAGACTCGGAGGCGGTGAGCGAGGGTACGGGGGAAAGTGCATGAAGCGAGGATCAGGGGAGGTATTCGAAGCACGCTCATCGCGATGACGCTCGAGATGGAGGGCATGCGCATCTCACAGAAGAACATGGAGGCTGGATCGCGTTGCTGGGGACAGGGAGCGAATAGCGAAGGCAATGAGGAGGGAGGCTACGCCTTGGTGTATAAGAGGGTGTGAGTGGAGGTACGAGGGGGAGGAAAGGGGAGAGGAGGGAAGGGCAATGGCAGCGAAGGAGAGAGGAGAGAGGGCAGTGGGAGCATGTCCCATCACGTATCATCATGTTGAGTTTGAGGTGCGTGCGTGTGCGTGAACAGATCACGCTTGAAACGTGCCATTGCTATCAGCAGTGTTTTTTTTTAGAGGGCCCCCCTGCGCCCCAGGCAGTCTGGGACAAGCTGTACGGTGAGAAGTTCGAGAACGGCTACAGAGTGATGAAGGGCAGGAAGCCCGCGAAGACCGTCGTGCAAGCCAGGAGGCAGCTTGCAGGAGGAATGATGTCAGAAAAATGTGCCTGTTAGATGCACGGGGGAACTGAGGTCAAGGGAGGGTGGGAGATTGGTAAAGGAGGCGGGAGGCAAGGAGGGAGGAGCGAGAGGTTGCGGGAGGGGGGGGCGGCACCAGCTGAGACGCATGGAGGGAGGAGAAGATATGATCAGGGAGGGCGGAGAGGAGGGGCTAATCGTAAGGGATCTCGAGGGAGGCTTCACGGACAGAGAGGGGGGGAGGCTAATTAAGGGAGGCACGCGAGTCGACACGGTGTCTGTGCAGCATGTGATATCTTGATTCTTATTGTTGGTATTGTGGTTGGACGTGCGGCGGAGTGTGTAGCATAAATGTGACGCCATGAACTAGTTGCGGTGCATAGTCATGGTTTCCCTGGCGCGAGGTTCTTGCTGTGCAGGTCCCTCCGCATCATGTATGCGCACTGGCAGCGCCGCAAGATCCAGGAGGAGGCGATGGACACCCAGCTAGCTGATGAGGCGGCTCTCCACTCGAGAGAGAGGGCGCGATCTTACGATCGCGTCCTCTCTCTCTCTCTCTCTCTCTCTCTCTCTCTCTCTCTCTCTCTCTCTCTCTCGTTGCCCCTCACCTCTCGATCTATCTATCTCCTCCTCCCCTCACGTCTCACTGCCAGACGTGCCTATGCTTTGTGCAGCATCAGTGATCTCGATGGCGTGCCCTGATGTTGAATCTCATCGTGATCGTCGTGCTCCTCGCTCGCATCCCCATCCCCCTCGCTCCCAGCTGGTCCAAATCCGCCCTCCCACGTGTAGTATGAGAGGGCCGCTGATTGCATGTACATATGGTTGGGCATGTGAATCAAGCCTTTGACCCTGAGCGCTTCGTTCTTGTATGATGTATGAGAACGAGAGGGGCCTCTAGCAGAGATGAGGGAGGGAACTAACTCGAGGAGGATTCTGGAGGAGGAGAAGCACAAACGCATGGGGAGGAGGGAATAGGAACAGGAGAAGGGCAATCGAGAGATCTGCAGCATGCGATCGGGCTGACAGGGCTGCGACGAGGACGACGACATCGAGGAGTTGCCCGAGCACACCTTGCGGATGTACATCCAGAGAGCGCAGGAGAGCGTTCCACAAGCCATGGGGTGGGGTAGGACGCATCTTCGAATGTGCACGCGCCTCTTTGGCTTCGCATGTGCGTCACCTGTGTCAGTGATCGTGTACGGCAGGTCCGTGTCGTGACGACCTCGACTATGGTTTCTGACACCGCGTTGGATCGTTCAACCTTGAACGATCGGCGGCTTCCCGATCGCCAGATCGCCCCAAAATGGCCGATTCTGGGCCACTTGCGTCGCTCAACCTTGAACGCTCGCGGCGGGGTCGCAGCGAGTCGACACGACGCGGACCTGCCGTATCCAAGTTCAGTTTATGTTGGATCTTGGAGTTTGCAGTGCAGGAGGGAGGAGGGACCGAACGACTCACCGCTGAACCACTCGACCTCGATCGAGGGTGAGTCTTTCGGCACCCCCTCCCATCCGGCACTGATCCACAATTTCGGGGGTCGCGTCTTCCTCGAGTGAGCCTGGGGGGGACCGATGGACCACTTTAACTCTGATCGCCCCCTTGCCCGCCCTACCCCGTCACCCGACAACATTCACACCCGACATTGCCCGTCTTACTTTTGCCACGAGCCAGGAGGTAGGCCAGATCGATGTAGCGAGGTCTTGCCTGCTACTAGCGCGTCCTCCGCCCCACATTGTGTTGGTGTCATCCCTTCCTCTCCAACCCCTGCGTTCCCTCTCATCGGAGTCTCCCTCAACCCTTATCCCTCCCTCCTTGCCTCCTCCTCGTTTCTCCTCCAGTCTTTACTCTGTCTGCTAGGCTCGGTGGAGGGCGAGGGAGGTCGACACGGGGTCGCCAGCGTCTTCGACTGGCTGGGAGATGCGGGATGGTTCTCTGGCTCAGCACGGCACTGGAGCGGAGGATTTACCTTTCTACGGTAGCATGACTGGCACGGCGGTGACCCGCAGCAGGAGGAAGAGGAAGGACAAAAAACACAAAAAGAAATCTAGGAAGCACGACAAGGATGAGGCTCGCGCTGCACCGTTCTCGTCCGCTATCCCACCTGCATTCGCAGCACCACAGACCCCTAGCAAGGGAAAACCAGCAGCGTCGTCACCAGCAGCCCCGACCATGAAGAGAGGAAAGCCAGCAATGGCAACAACGGCAGCAGCAGCAGCAACAGCAGCAGCAGCAGCAGCATCCAAGAAGAGGCCCGCAGCAGCGAAGACAGGTTGCGGCACCAAGAAGGCAAAGAAGGCACCCGAGCCCGAGGAGGAAAAGGAACAGGAGGATGAGGAAGTGGCGGAGGTCGTGGTCGAGGCCGAGGAGGGTGGTGAAGATGAAGAGGAGAAGGACGGCATTGAGGAAGCGGAGGAGGAGGTACCGAAGGAGGTCGATCCCATAGTCGAGGAGGGCGGCCACGTGGAGTACGTTCCGCTGCCTGGGCAGCCCAACGTTGATGATGAGACCTGCGAGTTGCCTGCGAAGGGCACTCGCAGCACAGTGTATGAGTTCCAGAGCTCAACGGAGGCCGGCAAGCTGTACCAGGTCAAGAAAAAGAGGCGGGAGATGGAGAAGATCAGCACGGTCTTCGTTCGCAGCATGACGGAGGGCGGCTGGACGGGCTGGACACAGCTGCTCCAGCATCAGGACAGCATGTGTCCCGAGGCCGTGCAAGGCCATCTAGGAGTACGGCCCTCAGCGTCACGGGCGGCGGAGATCGTGATCACAGAGTGCATGAAGGTCATGGTGAAGACTGGCCGTGGCTCCAAGGCCGAGGGCAAGATAGTCAAGCAGGAGGTGCTGTCCGCGCTGGGCATCGCCGACGCGGAGTGATACAGTGGGGAGGGCACGTGAGATAGTGACAAAGAGAGGAGGAGGGCCAGGATAAGGAGGAGGAGGAGGAGGAAGAGGAGGAGGAGGGGGAGGAGGAGGAGGAGGAGGAGGAGGAGGAGGAGGACAAGGATCAGGACAAGGCGAGAAATCGCGTGCCAGGGCATGCGATTCGAGGCGTCTCGGTGGCATTGCACCCCACACGTTGCCCCCAGACAGCCTGAGGGATTTGGAGATGGGGATACCTCGAGTTCCTGAGGGCCGAAGTCGGCCCTCAGGAACTCGAGGTATGCATCGATGCTCGAACGACGTGGCAATTCTCCTCATCTGATCTCTCCTCACCCTTATCCCATCATCTGTCCGACTTTCGACGCAGAAGTTCCGCGGATTCGCAGCGTGCCGAGTCAATCCGATATCGTCTGCCCCCCTGGGGAGGTGCTGGTGGGTATATGTGGTGGTCTTCTTCAACGGAGCAGCTATGTACTGCCTCGCCAGGGTCGGGGATGGGGGGGGGTGCAGGTAGTTTGGATGGCGCGTGGGATGGAGCATGCATGCTATCAGTTAGGATTTGCATTGGAGGATCGAGGCAGTATAGATGGCATCAGTGAGACTCCCACGCAGGACGGATGTGGAAAAGGAGACGCTCGGTGGAAACGAAACGGACGGAGGGTAAGACAAACGCAATCGCCCTGCAGCCCGCCCCATGTTCGATCCCCCTCGACATCCCTGCCGATCGATGGTGGTAATCTCACCCTCGATCGATGTGAAATCGACGATCGATCGAGACCGACGGGCCCACCCTTGGCCTGGTTTCGGGATGCGGAATGCAGACGCCACCTTCCGATTCGCCAATCTCGAGTCGAGCCCCGATGCTGACAATGATGGGGCAGGGCCGACGACCACTTCGCCCGCGCGAGCTTCTTCAGAATGATGGGAGCTGCGGCCAGGGCTCATTGGCTTGTGCCCCGCATGAGCTAGCGTGCTAGCAGTATATGGAGGGATGGGAACGTGAGCTCACGGGATGCGGAGGGGCGGGAGGAGTCAGGGCTAAAGGGGGAAGTGGAGCAAAGGAGCCACGGATGAGAGAACTTAAGGACCTTAAGGAACTGAGGATGAGGATGAGGATGGCCGCGGTGCTCTATGATGGTGAGGAACTTAAGGAAGGAGGGCACGATCATAATATAAGAGTGGGCGTGTATACTTATCCATACAAGAGTGGGGTAAGATCACGATCGTACTGTATGTGTGATAAGATAAGAATGCGATAATATAAGCGCCTTAGATAAGAGCACGAGGATGAGTGGGGTGGGATCCGTCTTCAGAAGGACGCGGGCGAGGATGCTGCATGATCGTTTGCTCTGTGCCATCTACAGCATGGCAGCCATGCAATCAGACAGACAGGGGCGCTCGCAGCCTGCAAGAAAGAAATAGTAGGCCCTGCAGGCCATCCAGTAAGATGGCGTCCGCGAGTCTCAGTGATATAGCGTGGTTGAGCGTGCTGGCCAGACAGACTGAGGATCCGCGTCCGTGGGCCCCGCCTCCACCCATGTTTCCCCCTGTCACCGTGGGCCCCGCCTCCGCCCCTGCCATCCGCACTGCGTGGTTAACATATCGTGCACGCGCTGAGCGGACATGTATACACATGTACGTGCACGCATGTGTATTGCCCAGTGACCATTGGCGTTCGAGTCATGCCAGTGCCCACTGACGGATCTCGTTCAATCTCTCATGTGATCTACTTGTGCGTTTGTTGCCTCCCGCATTCGAGAGCAGCTTCAGCAGGGGCCCCCCGCGCGACCCTGGGCCCGAGCCCTTTCTGACCAGCAGCGCAGGCGAAAGGGGAGCTTGGGCAAGGCGAACGCAATACATGAGTGGGGTCGGATTTTACGGAGCACGAGTGGCCCGAACTCGGCATGGCAAGGGACATCGAGAGAGTCCAGCCCATGACACACGCACGCGCACACCTGTATATATATATGTATGTTATACACACATGTATATTTTGTACATGTACATGCCAGCCCATACTTGCATGCCAGAGGGGTATGTCTTAGCGATGTGCACCTACTCCTCCCTCGTCCCCCTCCTCCTCCTACTCCGCCTCGTCCTCCCTCACTCTTCCCTCTTTCCCTTGTCATTCTTTGCCAGGAGCTCGCGCGCCAGCTGACCTTTCGAACTGATTATAATATCAGCCGTGTGCGGCAGTCATCTTCGAATAGTGCGGCGGTCACTTTCTAACCCCAGCCACGTGCAACAGACATCTCCTACTTCCAACCCAGTGCGACATTGCACTTGGGGTCTCGGGCGCATGCGTGCGTGCGAACGTGCATATATGCATAGATGTGTGCATACGTAGATACATACATACATACATACATACATACATACATACATATATACATACAGACATACATACAAACAAACAAACAAACACACATACACACATATACGTAGTATACATGCATATACACACATACATACATACATGCATACATGCATACATACATTACACTACATTACATTACACTACATTACATTACATTACATTACATCCCATCCCATTCCATTCTATTATATTACATACATACATGGACGGACACCTGCATATATACATATACACACATAAATGTATGTATGTATGTATATATATACATACATACATACATACAGGTGTATGCTTGTGCAAATAAATATACACAGATACGCGCGCATGCGGCTGTAACACACTTGTGCACGCATACACGTGCAACCGCCTTCCCAAGTGTACACGGGCACGTGAATGCAGGCAGTCATTTCACACCTGCACGTGTAAACATGGTACACACGTGTACATGTATAGGCACGCGCGCGCCATATGCATACGCGTGGGCAGCCCGTAGCACGTGCAGGCGCGTGATACATGAAGCAGGTGCGCACGCGCGCACGCTGGCGCACGCGTGCACACGCACGAATGACCGACCGATCGGCTGACCGACCGACCGACCGACCCACCGACCGTGACGACCGACCGACGTGACCGACCGAGCGACCAACCGATCGGCCGATTCATGGGAAGGGGGGGCGCGTGCAAAGAGAGAGTGCCGCCCAGGTGCGCCTGGGCTTCCTTCAGACGGACAAATCGCGCGGCTCTGCATACGCTGGCGGCTTTCTACTGGCTTTTTTACTACTGCACCTTGGGGTAGAGGCCCTGCTGGGCCACAGGGGGGGGGGTTGCCGAGCGCGGCCATGTTTTTTCTTTGGGTGGTGGAAACGTTTGCGGATGTGTTTCATGTTTTTAATGTTTTTTTCATGTTTTTCTATGTTTTTTTTCATGTTTTCTTTATGTTTTTAATGTTTTTTCATGTTTTTCATGTTTTTCATGTTTTGGATGTTTTTTAATGTTTTCCTATGTTGTTTAACGTTTTCTTATGTTTTTTCATGTTTCATGTTTTTAATGTTTTTTCATGTGTTTCTATGTTGTTTCATGTTTTCTTCATGTTTTTAATGTTTTTTCATGTTTTTCATGTTTTTAATGTTTTTCATGTGTTTCTATGTGTTTTCATGTTTTCTTCATGTTTTTAATGTTTTTTCATGTTTTTCATGTTTTTAATGTTGTTTCATGTTTTTCTATGTTTTTTCATGTTTTCATAATTTGTTTTAACTGTTTTTTAATGTTTTTCATGTTTTTAATGTTTTTTCATGTTTTTCTATGTTGTTTCATGTTTTCCTGATGTTTTTACTGTTTTTTTATGTTTTTCATGTTTTTCATGTTTTTCATGTTTTTACATGTGTTTCTATGTGTTTTAATGTTTTCTTCATGTTTTTAATGTTTCTTCATGTTTTTCATGTTTTTAATGTTTTTTTTTCATGTTGTTCTATGTTTTTTCATGTTTTCATGTTTTTCATGTTTTTAATGTTTTTTAATGTTTTTATATGTGTTTTCATGTTTTCATAATGTTTTTAATGTTTTTTTAAATGTTTTTCATGTTTTTAATGTTTTTTCATGTTTTTCTATGTTGTTTCATGTTTCCCTAATGTTTTTAATGTTTTTTATGTGTTTCTATGTGTTTTCATGTGTTCTTCATGTTTTTAATGTTTTTTAATGTTTTTTTCATGTGTTTCTATGTTTTTTAATGTTTTCTTCATGTTTTTAATGTTTTTTAATGTTTTTCATGTTTTTAATGTTTTTTTTCATGTTTTTTCATGTGTTTTCATGTTTTTTTTTCCATATTTTTTCATGTTTTTTTTTTATGTTTTTCATATTTTCCATGTTTTTTCTTCAAAATTTCGCAATCTTTTTTTGTGCTAGATTTTTGGTCGGAATCCGCGCTACGGCCATGGCCAGGGCCCTCGAAGGGCCCCCAATTCCCCCCGCGGGTCCATAAGCACCCCCCCCCCCACGCCCGATCGATCCTCTCGGGCCAGTCAATCCGCGGCGCGGGATCTTCATATGATCCCACCTGCGCGCCGCGGTCGCATCCGCGCCGCTGCGCAGGCGAAAGGGGAGACCCGCGCTGCCCGATGTGAATATTGCAAGCAAAAAAGAAAAAAGTTGTGCGCGCGCATATGTGCACGCCCGTTCGCGCATTGATATTGAACCACGATCGCACGCGCGCGCGCTCGCGTGACCGCACTGCGCGCGCTTTCATTACATTGGCCGCGCGCGCACTCGCACCGCGCCGCGCTCGGCGGCCAGGCCCCGTGGCGACATAGGGCTAGTGCACGTGGGCGGCACGTGCGCAGGCGGCGCGGGGCGCGCGCGCGCACAAACGCACGCAATCGCACGCGCGCGCGCACGTGCGCACGCGCGCACGCACACACACGCGCACACACACACGCGCGCACACGCACGCGCACACACACACACACACACGCACACACACGCACACACACACACGCGGCACGCACACGCACACATTGAACGCGCACGCGCGGCACACACACACACACACGCACGCACACACGCACACACGCGCACACACGCACACACGCACACACACGCACACACACACACACACACCCGC